ATGGGCTTCCCCGGGAGCTGGTCCTATCTCAGCTGAGCCCTGGGTAGGCCCACCCAGCACAGCCCCAGGGATTGCAGGCCTGGTGCTCCAGGTCAGGTTCCTTAGGTCAGACCTAGGGTTCGCAGGCCATTTCTCATCACAAATAGCTTTATAGGAGTTGAGTTTGGATCTCCAACCCTGGTTGCATGAGTTAGGCTAATAATCTATACACCTTTGTATAACCCAGTAAAATGTACTTTCTGACATTGTAATGAAGAATGAGGAAGATAGTTAAAAATAATCAAAACATTATTTATGTTTTTCTCAATTTCCTCTTACCTGCCTCGGAGAGCAGAATGTTAAGACCCTGGAATGGGGGCATACCTTTTAGAGATCTGCTGCCCATTTAAGTGACAGAGTTTTTAAGTTAAAATAGCAATTAATGGGTTTTTTTCCTTTCTCTTTTTCTTTTTAAATCTAAAATAGGTAAAACCTTATTAGCCAAAGCAGTAGCAAACCAAACCTCAGCCACTTTCTTGAGAGTGGTTGGCTCGGAACTTATACAGAAGTACCTAGGTGACGGGCCCAAACTCGTTCGGGAATTGTTTCGAGTTGCAGAAGAACACGCACCATCCATCGTGTTTATTGATGAAATTGATGCCATTGGAACAAAAAGGTACATTTCTCTCTTTGTGTTGAGCAGAGATAAAAGCCCCAGAGCCCTTCTCTGAGAACGATCATTACGTACCCCCCGGATGGCCTGCCCGTGGGTTTGCCACAGTTCCTACCGTGTACTCTGGATGCTTTAGGTTCTGCTCTCCCAGGTGCCAGGTAACAATCACACAGGAGTTGTGACTGCCTGGAGATTAGTCCGGAGCAGTGTCCCGAGCATCTGCTCTGAGCCAAGCATCATCTGGACTTCAGGCACACAGCCACCGTATGCAAGCCTCTGCCCTCGAGGAGCTCCCGGTCGGGTTGGCAGCTCAGATAGCAAACACGGAGACTGAATTAATGATATAATGTCAGGCATGAAAACTTCTACAATTTAAACAACATGATGGGAGGGCGTGATTTTGTTGCTAGAATTGAGGGCGTCTGAGTTATCCTTCAGCACATCAGTTAGGTTTTCACGCCTTCTCTTCTTTTTCAAAGGTATGACTCAAATTCTGGTGGTGAGAGAGAAATTCAGCGAACAATGCTGGAGCTGCTGAACCAGTTGGATGGATTTGATTCGAGGGGTGACGTGAAAGTTATCATGGCCACAAACCGAATAGAGACTTTGGATCCAGCTCTTATCAGACCAGGTCAGTTTGCTTGTTCTACCAGGGACAGCTGTCGTGTCTGTGCATGACCCTGTTTTAAGTGCGTGGGCAGGGGATTTAAGAACAATGTGTTATCAGGGCGCCTGGGTTGCTCAGTGGTTTGAGCCTCTGCCTTCAGTTCAGGTGATGGTCTCAGGGTCCTGGGATGAGGCCCTGCGTCAGGCTCTCTGCTCAGTGGGGAGCCTGCTTCTCCCCCCCCCCCCCCCCCCCCCCCCCCGCCTGCCTCTCTGCCTACTTGTGATCTGTCAAATAAATAAAACCTTTAAAAGAAAAATGATATGTATCAAGGCAAACACGTGACTGAAATGCAGAGTAACTTACTAAAGCCCGCATCCCCTGAGGTCGTGGTTAAGGAAGGACGTGATGCAGTGGGTGTAGCCCTTTTAATTCTAATCATAAATTGTGATCTTTTCTTTCCCATAATGGATATTCTTTTTTCTGAAGGAATAATTCATATGTTAACTCAGGTTCATTTTTTTACATTCAGGTCGCACCAGGATGCAGCAGTGGCTAATTTGTTTATGCTTTTGTAATGTTTTTAACACAGTCTGTCCTTTTTCACTACGTAGGCCATTCAGGAGCCCTTCCTTTATTTCTAAGGGTACCCCAGCAGAGCCGATCTCTTTCAGGTTGGATGAATTCAAATGCCGACATTTATGACTACAAGAGGGATGTTCACCTTTTGGGATTTGGACACCCACCCCCACATACACACAGGGTGCTGTCTGACTGAAATAGCGTGAGTGAGGACACGGGCTCAGACTCTTCCTGAGCTCGAGCCACACCTGGGGGCTGCACAGCGCTGTGACTGGAAACCTTTTCTACCCACAGGTCGCATCGACAGGAAGATTGAGTTCCCCCTGCCCGACGAGAAGACTAAGAAGCGCATCTTTCAAATCCACACAAGCAGGATGACGCTGGCTGATGATGTGACCTTGGACGACTTGATCATGGCTAAAGATGACCTCTCGGGTGCTGATATCAAGGTGAGAACCTGGGCTGGGTTGTACCTCTCAGTTTCATGGGGCGGGGGTGGGGGGAGGCTGGCAGCATCAGATCTGGGTCCAGCCTGCTCTTTAGGTGAGGACCTGGGTTTTTGTCAGGTCTAGGTACCATGGTCAGGGCAGGACGGCACATGTGGGGCCTTTTCACACTGCTGCCCGCACCGAGCTGCGTATCCTTGGTCTCTAAAGAACTAGGTTAGTGTCTGTGTTGGTGAATAAAAGGCTCTTTTTAAAATGGAAATTATTTTAAAATTTTGTACCAACTTTGTATTTTGAAAAATTTGAAGTCTTCAGAAAAGTCGCAACAGTAGTAAGTACTGGTATACCCATCACCTTGATTTACCTAGTGTTACCGTTTTACTGCTATGCTTTATCTTTTGTTCACAAATACACTGTCTTTTCTGCTGAACCATCTGAAATATCCTGAGGGCCATAACCAGATAAAAACGTCAATGCCAGGATTGTGTTTCTGTCACATCATGTTGAATGGGTTTTTGTTTTGCTTTTGGCAAGTGATGACTGAGGAAATAAATCACAGTAAATGCTGTCCTGAGACAGCTAGCCAGAATACGTGATACGTGTTCTCTTCTGACTGTGGGTAAATGAGCTGGATGGATGCTCTGTTGCTGCTAGTGTCCTGGTGTAATTGCATCTGGTGCCCAGGAAGGAACGTGGCTCCTGTATCGAGTGGAGCAGAGAACTTCCCTATCGGGCTACCCCGCCAGTCAGAACCCGAGCCAGGCCTCCTCCTCAAAGCCACCCCAGATCCTGAGAAAGTAATTAGAATGTGTAAAACATTGAAAAGATCTACTCTTTTCCCAAACAGTTTAAGCAGTTTCTTTAGTCTAAGGGTCTTACACCTGATTTCAGAGTAGCTCCCGAATTGACAGAGCACAAGAAAGAAGTATTTCCCTTTCTGAACATACTGTTCGTTCTTACAGGCAATCTGTACAGAAGCTGGTCTGATGGCCTTGAGAGAACGCAGAATGAAAGTAACAAATGAAGACTTCAAGAAATCTAAAGAAAATGTTCTTTATAAAAAACAAGAAGGCACCCCTGAGGGACTATATCTCTAGCAGACCACAGCTGCCTTCAAGGAAGTGGTCGGGGTTGTTCTGACCCCTTGAAGGGATGAGGTTGGGGAAGTTGCCCAGAGGAACCCATGTTCCAGTTGATCTTTCTTACTAGCAAAACCTCCTTGTGTACTTTTTTGAGCGTGTACGATGCCCCCCAGGCTGCCTTCACCTGTTGGTCCCGTGCAGTGCTCTGTCTCCAATAAAGCGTGCTCCTTCTCACACTCGTTTCTGGAACCTCCACATCTGGCACTCAGCAGCAATAAGCAGGGGGACCTGGGCAGTAGGGGGGCTTTCAGCACCTCTGGCCCTGCCTCACGTGCCCAGAGCCGGTGGCAGAGTTGGACAGCAGCTAGTGGGAGGGCCTTGTTCTTCGGTTCGGAAACCTCATCTCTCTCTAGTATGCACAAAACCATATCAAAGCTTCCCCTTCCCTGTCTGTCTTGCCCTTCTCTCCTTTCAGAGCAGGTCCATGTCCAAACGCGTGTGTCCAAGCCTGGCAAGGTAAGTGTCCACTTGGCTGGCTGGCCAGCCACCTCCCTCAGGGGCTCTGACTTGTCACCCTTCTTTTCCAGCTCTTTCTAGCCCAAATTTCTGTTCCACAACACTGGTTTTTCTGGATGGGATGACAAGGAATGACAACTTCAGCAATTCTAGGCATCAGGGTTTTGGTTTTTTTAAGAGCAGGGGCTCAGAGAAGATAAAGCAGTTTCCTCCCAGTTAAATATTAACAGTTAATAACTGCTGGCATGTCCCTTGCAGAAGAAAGTGGTCTGAACGTAGTGATGTCCATTTCATTCCATTCCTAATCCTCAGACACCTACTGGCCTCTGTCTGCACCCGGATGAAGGCTGCCACAACCATCTCGCGGGCAGGGGCAGGGGGTGGTCTGGTAGGAAGCCGCAGGCTCCATTCTGCAGTCCGCTCACATGGCTGCCCGCGTGCTTCCTGCAGCAGGGGTTCCTTCCACACTTGGGTGCTCGGAAGTCTCCAGGGGTCCCGTCCAAGTGCAGCCGGACTCAGAAGGGCTGAGGTGGGCCCGCAAGGCTGCATCTCTGCCAGGCGCCCAGGTGGTGCTGCTGGTCCACAGCTGGGAGGCGTCAAGAAGAGCTTAGGGACCCTGAGGAACTTAATGCACTTGATATAGGCCAGAACACTGAGTTTTAAATGACTCCACTGACTGGCCTGAAGAGAAGGGCAAAATCCGCTCTCCTGCTAACCAGCCTGGGGAAGAGGTTCTAGAGTCACCAGACCTTTCGTGTCCTGACTGCGAGACCCAGAAACCCTGGCAGGACCCCCAAGAACGCCAACCAACGGGGCGCACACGCTCGCAGGGGGCTGGGCGGGGAGCAGAGGAAGAGCACAAACTCGCACACGCCACCCACGAGAGGTTTCCTTCTCACTAAGCGTGATTCTTATCTACATATTCACACATATAATGTGTAAAAAACAGCTTCTGTGTCGTTTTGCACGTCCAAAAAAATGTGCAAGAGATAAGAAACCGATGGCCCAGGCACAAAGTACTAAGAAAGCTAGACTCAAAAGCAGAGTTCCCGGAACACACGCACCAGGCGTCCCCAGTCTCGTGCATCCCAGCTCCGGCGGGGCAGGCCACGAGGCCTGGGAGGCGGGGCCCGTTCCCTCCCGGTCTCTAGTCCTCCAGCAGAAGCGCCAGCTCCTCCAGCGGCAGGCGCACCCGGAGCTCCTTCTCCGTCATCAGGTCCAGGACCTCCTGCATCCCTTCGGGGAAGTGCTCCACGGCATCCAGGTACAGCGCCTAGGGCAGGAGTCCGCGCTAGCCAGCCTGCCCTCCCCGTCGCCGTCTGGACTTGGCGGCACCTGGGTACCGGGTTCCAGAAGGACACGGAACTCCCAAGGTTGGGGCTGGAAGTAAGGGGACCCGAGCGAGGCCTTCTTTCTCTAAAGTGGGGCAGGACTTGGTGGACGGGACAGTCCCCATATGCCTCCTGACTGGGCTCGGCAAGGCAGGCCTGGGCCACGGGCCCCCACGCTGAGCAGCTGGGCTGAACCCCGCCGGATGATGGAAACCCCCCGCCTACAGCTAGGCTCCCGTGAAACACCAGCCCCGGCACAGGGCGTGCACACGTGCCCCTCAGCCGAGCCTCCACTGGGGACAGGTTCCCTATGACGTGGTCCAGGATGGGCCCTGTCCCTAGGGATGCGGATGGGTGGGCCCCGAGGCACTGGGCATGTGCAGGTCTCATGGTCTCTGGGACTTACCTTTGCCCAAGGACAATTCTGAAGTGCTTTGTAGAACACGCCTTTGCTCCTTTCTTTGTTTCCCAAGGAAACCTGAGGCAGAGAGGAGAATTACAAAAAGGATTCACTGAGGTAGAGAGCCTAAGGCCACGGAAACCACCCTGTCCTGATCTGCATGGGGGCTCAGCGGTGGCCAGCCAGCCCATGGAGGGGGGCAGCTGGCACCGTCACGGTGGCTGCTGGGCAGGGGTCCAGGTGCCACAGGGCACACTCGGGGCCACTGCTGTGTGGTGTTTCCCCTGCACTGATGGACCCAGAGGAGACTGGGCCCTCTGACTTCTGACCAGTCTACCTCCTCCTCCACTGGGGACCACGGTGTCTTGTGTCAGAACAGTGCCTAGAGCGAGGCCGTGTGTGTGAGACGAGGCTGATAACTTTACACACACACAATGTCTGCCACAACACTTGCCGTTTTCTAAAACCTTAGAGGAACGAGACAACCAGCATCACCGAGTCAGCACCTAACTAATAAAAATAAACTCCTGGTCAGGAATTTCAGTCTGACCGCCTGCAAGCACTCAGCATGTTCTCTTCCTTAGTAAAATCCTTAGTCCAGCCCCTAGACACATGCTCCAGTTTCCAGTGGGCATGGAAAGAACACACCTGTCCCCACCATCCCCTTCCCTGGGCGTGTCCTGGTCCCAGGAAGGGATCTGTCGCTCAGTAGCTCCTCGAAGGCACCACAGCCCCGAAGGGCCGTCCCCCTGGCTGGCGGGCCCCAGCCAGGCTCATGGAGCTCAAGTCTGATCCTGGGCTTTCTCCCCACCCACCTCCTCCAGGCTCCCATTCCTATAGGGAGAGCCTTCTAGGTGCCGCTGGCTCTTCCTACCAGGTGGCCGGTGCATGGCCTCTGGTACCGGACTGACTCGCAGAACCTGCGGGACGCATCTCGAGACTGTGGCTCAGGCTCTCCGTCCGCTGGGGACGGCTGCCCTTGCTTTTCAGTTCCCTCAGGTTAACCCCCGCAGAAACAGACTCACGGGCCACAGCCAGCTCCTGGGACAACAGGCCTTCGCCACCCCCAGAGCCAGCCGCCGAGCCCAGGGACTCCTGCCTTCCCTCCCCTCCAGGCCTCCCGAAGCTGGACTTCTCTGAATTCACACGCAAGGAACCAGCACCAGCTGGCCTTCCTTCACACGCCAGAATACTTCAATATCCTCGCATAAACTTAGGACACTGTTTTCTTGTTCTTGAAAGAAGGAAAAATTGCACGACTGTCCATTCTTAGGCACTGTATCTGTGGGGCTCACTGATAGCCCCGGAACCCAGCAAATTCAACTACATCGGTCAGCGGGACTCGAATGCAAACCACTCCCACGGTTCCCTCCATCAGCCACTGGAGAAGGCCTAGGCTCTCAGGTTCGGGAGGGTTTGATGGCAGGCGACAGCTCGGTGGTGACCCCTGGTTGTCTCCACACAGGATCTCCTATTCTAAGACCCAGCCTTGTAGCCATCCGCTCCCTCTCACGAGCGCAGAGCCTCCCCAGGAACACAAGCCGCCCTGGCTGCCTGCGTCCTGCCTCACGCTCTAGGTTTCCTCGTCTTGACCAACCGTGACTTCTCATAGATCCCTAAGCCCAGGCTGAAACAAGAGAGATGGGCGACCCCCAGCATTAGGACAGGAATCGAACAAAGAACTGAAGGGGCCGCTCTCCACGCGAGCACAACTGGTCTGCAAAGGGAAGCAGGAGCCCGGGTTGCACGCAGACGCCGCTCTGGTCAGGAAGGGGGCCTCACACCCCCTGCCCCAGGAAGGGCTCGGCCAACATGACCCTGGTGAGCAGAGGACGCAAGTCCTTGCAAAGGTCTGGCACTGTGGGCCCGCCACCCGGACCCGAGCCCAGAGAGCAACACAGCCGTGTGGGGGGTGCCGCTGCCCCCACATGACCAAGTGTGAGAGCGCCCCGTTCAGAGACGCGGCTGGCGCCCAGTGACCGCCTGTCTGGGCCCCTGGGTCCCCTCTTACCTGGTGCCAGCCGCCACCACCCGGCAGAGGTAGCATCAGTGGCAAAGGGAAAATGAGGGCCTTTGGGCTTTGGTATGATTTGATTCTCTTTTCTATCTGACTGTAGACCCACCTGAGCAAGCGGCTTTAGTGAATACAACTTTTTTAAAGTAATTTGACCCGGGGGCCTCTGGGTGGCTCAGTGGGTTAAGCCTCTGCCTTCGGCTCAGGTCATGATTCTTGGGTCCTGGGATCGAGCCCCGCATCGGGCTCCCTGCTCAGCAGGAAGCCTGCTTCTCCCTCTCCCACTCCTGCTGCTTGTGTTCCCTCTCTCACTGTGTCTTTGTCAGATAAATAAAACACTTTAAAAAATAAAGTAATTTGACCCAACTGATAACCCAACCCAAACAAAAAGCCATGTTTCCACGACACCCTGAATGCTCCAGGGAGGAGAGGACAGTCCTGTGGAAGCTTACGACCCCCACCCCACAACCAGCATGGTAAACTGAAGACGACTCTTCGCCCTCCCAGCGGCTCTTCTGAGTGCTGGCCTTTCCAGACAGGCTGACCCGCCGGCTGCCAATCCCTTCCTTCTCCCATGTCCTCCGTGGCCAATGAGCAGCTCCAATCCCGTCCATCACTTTTGCAGGAGAAAAAGCAAATGTGGAAAAAGGCTCAAGTGTGTGTAGATCTGCATGTGTGCGCACACACGCACAGAAAGCACCAGCTCTCCTCCGCGGAGCCAGCTCCCTTCGGCTCTCTCCTCACCTTGCATTCTGGCCCTAACTGGAGCTTTTCACAGGGTCATCAAGGCCTTGGTGGCCAACCCAGATGCTTCAGGAGCTGCGAGAGGAAGTCCTGCTCAAACTTGTCCTCGCTCCAATGCTAACCTTTCCAGAAAGACAGAAATTCCTTAAGGGCCCCAATCTTTTCTCCCAAGTCAGGGAGAATTTTTCTATGATCCAACCAAATCTGGCTCTTGGAAGATTCCTTGTAATCGCAAGTCCATCTTTCCCCTACCCGTCTCTACTGACAACCACAGAGGGAGTTAAACGGGAAAGTCTGCAAGCCCTCCCTTTTCACATTTCAAGATCTTGCACTTGCTAGAAAGACTCACACGATATCAGCACTGGGAATTTTAGGGAGCACCTGCTCCTTCGGCTGGGTGGCCCCAGCACAGGAGCGGCGGTAATGCAGCAGGAGGCCGGTTCTCCTGACCGCTCTCCATCAAGCTGCCCTCCCCTACACCGATTAACAGGCGGTAACCACGGTGTGCTGTGACCACAGCAGCATCTGGACTTCCGAAGGTTTCTGTTTCACACATGGACGCCAAAACCTAAAACCTAAGCCTTTGGGTCTGATGAATAAATGTTAGGGGGAAAAAACCACACACACAAACTTCCAGGGCGCTTGGGTGGCTAAGTCGGTTAAGCATCTTCCTTCAGTTCGGGTCGTGATCCCAGGGTACGGGGATCGAGCCCCCCATCAGGCTCTCTGCTCAGCCAGGAACCTGCTTCTCTCCCTCTGCCTGCCGCTCCCCCTGCTTGTTCTCTGACAAATAAATAAATTAAATCTTACATATTAAAAAAGCAAAAACCACACAGACTTTTGGGTTAGTTCAACTCGATACTGACTTCGGCCAGCAAGGTTGTGCCTCCTTGTCCTCAGTGTGCCAGCAAGCTGCTGTCCTGACATCCCGTGTCCTCCTTGCCACTCAGAGGAAGCCCACCAAGCCGAAGTCTGAAGTCTAAGATGGGGAAGGCCCAAAGCGCTCCTAAACCATAGCTTACTTTCTCCACATCCCTTTATACCCAACTCTGTCATGTTTCTATTGGAAAAGTTGAAATACTTTGACTGCCTTGAGAATTTATCCAGTGGAAATAAGCAGAGAGGCAAGGAAGGTCGCTCCTGGCTTCTGAAAAGTACAGCCTTCATTAGCGATCCCTTGCATGGGATTCAGTAGCCTTAAGTTGAAACACTCGAGTGGCCTAGGAGACTACATTTCCAAAACACCACGCGACTTGGCAGATAAATTCCAGGAAATGAGGCCCATCCCAACGCCAGTAACGAAAGGCAAAGTCAACCCACAGACTCCACGAGGCCCAGGAAGCGCCTTCCAGCCTCCACACGCAGAGTAACACGATCAAACGGCATCTCTGTGTCTTCAGTCACCAACTATGGTATTTTTGAGCGAAAACAAAGCTCCTTTGTCAAGAGGAGAGAAAGACCCATTGTCAACATTACATTCTAGGGTGAATCTTACTTTAACGACAGAGCAGAATCAGAACCTGGGAATTCTTATGAAGAGATGACAGAGAATGAAGGTCTCTTTCTAATGAAAGCTCTTAGGCCACTTCCAAGTTGTTACTCGAGGAAGTCAACCCTGAGAGAGCCCCACGAGGTTCCGCTGCGAACCGCCCAGCGATGATTCCCATCACTCTGCCAAAGCCCCCGGGAGCGATGCAGCCTGCGTCCCCCTCCCACGTCCAGAGCGACCTGACATGACTCCACTAGGGTCCTCAGAAGGGTTCATCGAGGCTGACAAGGTGTGGGGGAAAAGGAGGCCCCTGCCAGCTTTCCTGGCCGGTGGTCACTGGACACCTGCCCGTTCTCCCCTACACGGAGGAAGCAACGGAACTCTACAGAAAAACAAAAACACTAAACATTTTCTTACCAAAAAGTTCAAATACATTCTCCACAGCAAGGGGCACAGGCGGCCATGGTCACTCTGCAACGCGCTTTCAAACAGGGCTCTGATCCGATGAGCCAAGCCGGTCTCAGGAATCGTGGCATGGACCTCTCTGCCATCCACCCTGCAAGACAAAGGCTCACGTGACTCCAAGACCAGTTTTCGTGCCCCCCACCACTGGCGCTGGCGGAAGAGGAGCGTTAGTGACTGCCAATGTCCACTCCGGCAGGATCAGTGTGCCAGGTACAGTGCCATCCCCCGGTGTGGGGGTCCTGGGGGCGCAGGCTGCAGACATGATGGGGCCCCTCCAAGGCCAGAGGAAGGCAGTGCCCAGGCTTCTGTTTTCTCTATGCCAGAGTCCACCTAGAACTCACACACGATCTCCCTGCATCTCCGCTCTCTAGAGCCAAGCCCACCCTCTACTCAGCAGAATGCGAACGCCACCTGATGGGAGGAAAGTCCTTTCGACTTAGGGGACATGGAATGAATAAAATCCCAATGGAAAAAATAAAAAACAAAGGGACACACTCTTCAGAGGCAACACTGAGTCATCGGCTGATAAGAGGTCAGAGCGAAGCCACCGTGATAGTCACTTAACCTTCAGACACACCCTCACCGGATCCAGAGACCACATGTAGAACGCAATGCCGTCATCGCCAGTGATAACAACAGAGGCCCGTAACTCTCTCACACTCCCTCTTGCTCACCCCCTCCCTGCCTGGCCCCTCTGAGCAGTCCTTGCAGGAGGCTACTATTTGAGGGATGGGACTTGCCCAAGGCCACACAGCTGGGATGTGGAAGAGCTGGGATCTGAATCCACAGTCCGACTCCGGAGCCCCTGCTCTTGCCTGTCGTGCTATCCCCGCCGCTGCTCAGATAGCAGAATGCCTGACGGGCCCCACCACATGCCATCAGCAACGTTCAGAAGCCCAAAACGCATGGTCCAGGCAGACAGCCATGAGAGCCCCTGACAAAGCCACTGCAGTCCTTTTCCAATAGGTCATCCTACGTCACCAGGACACCCACAGCAGCGCTCTGGGCACTGGCCCATATTTGCTTCTGGATCCCAGAGGCCTCGCAGGGCAGCGGGGTCACAGCAAACACAGCACAAAGGCTTGTGGATATGCGGACAAGACTGTCGAACCTACCTCTGAACGGTCTCCACCAGCCTCTTCCTCATTTTCTCAGCTTCAATCGCAAACAACCAAGGCTCCAAGGCTTTGGTGGACCTGGTAACAGCATTGAAGAACCTTCTGGTCTTACTGGCTGCGTGGGACTTGCTCTGAACCTGTACGTAGGCCCTCCAGAGAAGCTGGTTGTCTGGGTATAGCTGTATCGCCTCTGAGAGCACCTGGCGCAGGGGAGCCAGGGGGTAAACGTGGACCCTGGTGTGGAACCGGAGCAGGGCCGTGTGCAGCAGCGTGACAGCCTCGAGAGCGCCGCCCGGGCACACCGAGCCCCGCAGCCCCGCACACACCTGCTCGTAGAGCCGCACGGCGGCCTCGATGCCTACAGTCACATACTGGAAGAGCAGGAAGCACTTGGCCAGGCTCGCGAGGCGGTGAGCGGGGCCGGCGGGAGCTGGAGCGGAGCCGCAGCTCTGCCCTAGGCAGTCCTGTAGCGCGTGCTCATAAGCCTTCCGGGCTTTCAGGACATGAACAGCCGAGACCGGCCCCGAGTAGGGCCCATAGGGCCCATTCTCCGTCAGTCTGGTCAGTATGTGCACGGCCCGGGCCGCGGCGGCCCCCCTCGCCTCAGCTGAGAGCTCCAGCTCCAGCTCCAGCTGCGCGTAGAGGAGGCTGAGCTCCCAGAGCTCGGACCCCCTCAGTTCCCCACCACCCGCCAGGCTGAGCGCCGAGTCGAACACCTTCCTGGCGTCCTCCGTGTTGCCAAGCAACCACTCCAGATGTGCATACTGCTTCCAGAGGCAGAAATCGTTGCGGTTTTCTGGCTCCTTAAGGAGATTTTTGGCGAGTTTTTTGCAGTTCTTTCCTTGTGACTTTAACCTCTTCTTGTTTTTAGTGTGCAGACACCAAATGACCTGGAAGTAAAAAGAAAAGGACTCCTGTGTGCTCTGTGATTTTCAAGCAACCCCTTTGTCCTGTCCACTTCAGAAAGCCACACGGGCGTCTACACTTCCTTCCTGCATCACAGGGTTGCCAATCACGTGGGATCCCTGAGCTGGACAACAAATCAGGATTGAACCAAGGCTACGGGCGCCCCCAAATGACCGCACCCAGGCTTCCACTGGAAACCTCGGTAAACATGGCTCATCTTGTCCAAGTATCCTTCTCCAGTGACAGGAGGCCACCAAATTTTCTCGCACACTATTTTCAGAACATGTCCCCATGTGTGCAATCCGTGTAGTTTAAGCGCCAGAGCTCTGGGCGTTAAGAGTCAGTACTAACCGGTGGCCAGCAGAGGGCAGAAGAGTCCATCCTAGAAGAATACCTAATCGCGATGAAGAGCAAGGTAAGTAAGTAGCTTGTTTTATCTTTTAATAAACCCGGAAACCCCCTCGCCCCCGCCTAAGCTTGGGTCTTCACAGTAACTGCTTGTATAATCCCAGACATCTGGCAAAGGGTGAACACAACAAACAGCTCCAGTCGCCGGCGAGCAGCATACACAGGGCCCCTCCCACACCGCTCGGCAGGGGCAGCCACATACTGGAGCCTGGGGGGACTGTGAACAAGAAGGGGCCAAAGCCCAGTGCTGAGGAACACCAGGAGCCCCGAGATCGTTTCTGAAGCCCCCGCACGGAGCAGGGGAGGCCGGAGTTACCTTCGCCATCTCGTACCGTAGCCAGGAGAAGCAGAGCTGGGACCGCTCCTGGCCTGAAAACAGAGGCATCACAAGGTGAAAGACGTTGCGGATGAACTCCTCGCCCTCTCGACTGTGACCGCAGGTCCAGCGACGGCAGCCCAGGGCGTCTGAGCAGCCAACACAGCTGATGCCATTGAAGGACAGGTTGAGGAAAGTCAGTGGCTTTTCATCATGAAGCCCGTTATCAAAGATGCTGTCCTCATCCACAGCCAAGTAGACGCAGGAGGCCGGGGTGCTGAAGCCACAAGGCACACCCAGGAACTGCAGAAAGGCCGTGACCAGCTGGAACTGAAGATCCGGGCTGGAGAGCTGGATCAGAGACTGTGCGATGTCATCGAACAGCACCTGTAACAGACACGCGGTGAGGCAGCCCGCCCAGGGGGCACAGACCAGAGACAAGGCTTCGCGACTTTTCCTGGGGCCCTTTCATGTGGGTGTGCTGATGATTCAACATTATTCTTATTAAACTTTAAACAGACGAGAGCTAGGTTTCCTGCAAGATGCAAAAAAGCTAGAGGCCTCACCAGGCACCGGAGAGATGGAGGGGAGCTGGCGGGGGGCTGGCGGCATTGTCACGTTGCCCAGGCACCCTCAGGAGGAGGCAATACCAGAAACGGGCTTAAGCCAAAACCTTCCAAAGGAGCCTAACGAATTCATAGAAAATCTAGGATCGTACTCACTCCTGAAAGCACACATAACTGCTTTTGTAGTTACTCTGATAAATTACAATCACCAAAACTGTTTATTAAGATAGAAAATAAGAATTTTATTATTTGGGGGCACCTGGGTGGCACAGTGGGTTGAGAATCAGACCCTTGGTTTAGGCTCAGGTCCTGATCTCGGTTGTGAGATCGAGCCCTGCGTCAAGCTCTGCGCTCAGCACAGTCTGCTTCAGATCCTCTCTCCCTCTCCATCCCTGCCCCCTTCTCTAAAAATAATAAATCTTGGGCGCCTGGGTGGCTCAGTGGGTTAAGCCTCTGCCTTCAGCTCAGGTCATGATCCCAGGGTCCTGGGATCGAGTCCCGCATTGGGCTCTCTGCTCAGCAGGGAACCTGCTTCCTCCTCTCTCTCTACCTGCCTCTCTGCCTACTTGTGATCTCTGTCAAATAAATAAATAAAATCTTCAAAAAAAAAATTAAAAAACATAAATAAAAATAATAAATCTTAAAAAAAAAAGAATTCTATTCTTTGGTGGCTTCTTCATACAAAATTGCTTTCAGAAATGAAAAATATGCTAAAAGGTAGATAAACAGCAGCAAGGCAGGAAGAAAACTCCAGCAGCCATGGGCTGTGGCAAGCACAATTCAAGGCCAAATGCTAACTGGACCCGTCCGCGGCTGATTTCATGCCGACACTTTAAAGTGTGAGGCCTCGGAGGCTGGCCTCTGTCTCAGGGCACAGCTGACCTGCTTGGTCTCCAAGGCTCCCAGCAGAGAGGAAGCCAAAGCGTGAGCACAGAAAAATTGGACTCCCCGGGGTCGGCCTCCTCAGAACTGTCAATTCATCGGAAAGCTTCTCTCCTCCAGGTTCTGGTTAGAAAAAAAGCTAAGGGACAAGGAACTGCTCAGAGTGGAAGTTTGTTCCAGAAACAAGCTTCCAGAAAACCACTGGCAATGAGCCTCAGACTAACTTCTGGCCAGGTGACCCTGAACGCTAGAAAACCGTCGACCACCGCACGCCTTGCTCTTCCTGACGCGCAGCGCCAGCCAGGAAAGGGACGCCCTGTGCACACTCGCCGCAGGCCACGCGTGCGGCATCGCGGAGCTGAGCGGCGGCTTCCCTGGCATCGGCCCCTCCTTCCCACCCAGAGCTTCCCAGTTCCCATATCCGCCACTCCTCAAACATTCCGGGCACTCATGTTGGTCGCTGTGCCTGGAGCAGAAGACCCGGCATCGAATAGTCATTCGACATCCAGGAACGTCAACTGAGCAGTCAGCACAGGAAAGGCACGGGCCGTGCACCGGTGATCCCGCAGGGAGGAAACGGGCAAAAATCCCCACCCTGGCAGCACGTAAATCGCAAGGAGGGTCGCAGACAACAGACCAGGCCAGAGCTCATGAGCCTCGCGACCGCAAACACCTGCTGGTCTGTGCCTAGAGCACGTCGCATGGCAAGCAGTACGGCCGGGTCTTAGGAAACTGGGTCCTTTTCAGGCTCCAAGTAAAAGCTCTTCCTTTATTGTAACATAAAACTTTCAGAGCTGCCGGCCACCAGGGCAGCACGGGTCACGTTGTTCCACAGCAGTAAACCAGACAGCGTAAGTGCCTGGTGCACCACAGCGGCTCCGGGAACAGGGGCTGCTTCCCCAGCAGCATCAGCCATGTAGCGACTGTCCCAGCTCGGCCTCCCGAGTCAAACCTATCCACCACCTCTCTGAGGATACAAGAGTGCGATGGGGAACGTGGACAGAGCTTCATAACCTAGGACAGCGATTCCACGTCTTGAAAACCCCGAGTCCTCAGGCTTCCACGTGAAAAACTAGCCGGATAACTGGAAGACCGTCTCCGGAGAGGCCTTCCCTCCTACTTGGGAATGGGAACTCTCCGGTCAGGTTCCTCCACGCTCCCACATCACCAGTGGGCAGTGAGGTTTCCAGAAACAGGAACAAGAGGTCAGGAGCAAGCTAACCTCTCCCAAGCCAGGCTAGTGCCCCGAGCACCTGGCAAGCTTCCTGTAGGCAAGCAAAGCCCGTGGGAATGGGCAGAAGGGAAGAACCCGGTGGCTGGCCTCCCACCCGGGGCGGGACACTCGCCTGTCTCTCTGGGTCCTCACAGTCTTCCTCGGTTTGTTTCCTGGTCTTATCAGGGCGCCACGGCCGCCAGTGCCTCTGGTCTCGGGACCGCTCAGTGGCAAGCCAGATCTGCCACCTGGGCAGACTCTTATCTCGTATTTCCTGGTCCTCGTCTTCTGGCTCATCATCATCATCATCTAGATGAGAACAAAACTTTTAGCTCACCTCACCAGCAAATAAAACCACCACTTACATTCCACCGGTCTGTGATGCCACCTCCTGTGGTGGGTCTCTGGAGTGCCAAGATGAGTAAGACCCAGGCCCAGCCTTCTGGAACATTCAGGGACTCAGAGGCACTGAGGGACTCTCCTATCACCAGTCAGGTTCCCAAAAAACCCTGGCAGTTAGCCAATGGAATCAGATGATTTTTAATGTTATCACAGCAATTAAAATGGGAACACACATATTCTAGCACAAGACTACTGGAACTTTCTACGATGATGACATACTATATACCTTATGTGTCCACTATGGTAGCAACCAGCCACATGTGACTTAGCGGGCACCTGAAATGTAGCTGGCAGCACAACTCAATTTTTTACTTTATTTCATCTTAATTTAATTAAAACGGCCACGTACGGTTAATGCCTAATGTACTGGACGACACCGTTCCAGAAAGCTACACGACACTTAGTAATAGCACTGGTTTAGATTTCCTAAAGCCATCGGGATTTTCAGCCAGTGGCCTTATGATCACAACTTGTGTTCACTTCTCCAAAAAAGTCAATTCAAGATACCCTGTACTTTCACTTTGTTTCCTAACTCTGAACATGCAAAACGTGAGAGGAGGAAAGTTTTCAGTCTTCTATAAAATTTAATATTTAAAAATAAATAGGGTGGGGCTCCTGGGTGGCTCAGTGGGTTAAGCCTCTGCCTTCAGCTCAGGTCATGGTCTCAGGGTCCTGGGATCGAGCCCCACATCAGGCTCTCTGCTCAGCAGGGAGCCTGCTTCCCTTCCTCTCTCTCTCTGCCTGCCTCTCTGCCTACTTATGATCTTTGTCAAATAAATAAATAAAATCTTTAAAATAAATAAATAAATAAATAAATAAATAGGGTATAGAAAATGGTATGGGTACCCCAGAAAACAAGTGGGCAGTTTCTTATATAATTAAACATGCATTTACTACAAGACCTGGCAACTGCACTCTTGGATGCTGATCCCAGAAAAATGAAAACCTACGTACACACAAACACCTGAACACTAATACCCACAGCAGCGTTATTCTCAACAGCCAATCTCTGGAAACACTCCCAGCGTCCCACAGTAGATTAACAGGGAAATTTGACATCTACACCATGGACCATTACTCACAGTAAATCAGCCTGAGAAACTACAGATGCGTGAAGCAATTCGGACAGATCTCGGGGGTGATGCTAAGTGGAAAAAAGCCAATCATAGTACGTTACACAGAAAACCTGTGTTGGTGAGAATATGGAGAAACTGAAACCCTTGTGCACCAATGGTGGGAATGCAAAATAGCGCAGTCCTATGAATAGTCTGGCAGCTCCTTAAAGGTTTTCTCTTTTTTTTTTAAAGATTTTATTTAAAAAAAAAAAAAAAGATTTTATTTATTTGTCAGAGAGAGAAAGCACGGGCAGGGAGAGGCAGAGGAAGAGGGAGAAGCAGGGGGAGCAGCAGGCAGAGCAGGGAGAAGGAGAAGCAGGCTCCCCGCTGAACAGGTGGCCCAACTCAGGACTCGATCTCAGGACTTCTGAGATCCTTCTGAGAGGCCTTCTCGCCACAACCCCCCACCCCACCGATTGTGCATGTGCACGTACTCGTTCTCAAGTGAATAAATAAAATCTTTTAAAAAATAAATAAATAACAAAAACTCCACAGAATTTAAATGTGTTAAGTATATATTAACTTTTTAAATTCAATATTCTATCTAAACGCTCTTCTGAATTCTCAAAGAAAACTAAAATTTAACCATTTATCACCTTTCTCTAAAGACGTACATGCAAGGTAATCCTTTAATCACACTGAAAAAAATTCTCACCCTAAGAGAAATTATCCTGTGAGTCACACATCTAGCTTAGATATCTGAATTTATTACATTAGAAATTCCAAAGATTACATGATTTTGGAAAGACACATTATAAATATATAACAATATAGACCAAGAGAAAATGAGGGTGAGAGAAAGGAAATAAGTAGTGATACATGAAAAAATGCCTCAGAGTCAATGATAAATGCCAACTACTCTCTAAATGCCAACCTCATCAAGATGGGACAAAGAAAACTAAAAAATAAAGGAAAAACAAAGAATAGTTATCAACTAGTTTTCTGGAAACAGTGTTCCCGGGACACTGCTGTGAGAATTCTACTTCAGTCTCATAGAAATGCAGAATGATGGACCTTAGAACACAAATTCTGTGCATTCTAGGAGACGTGCTCATTGAAACAAAACAAAACAAAAGCCCAAAAAACAAAAACCTAAAAACAGAGAACTACCCTGAGCTGGTACTCAAAAGTCACTACTAAAAAGACTTCTCGGGGAGTTTGGGTGGCTCAGTTGGTTGAGTGTCTGACCCTTGATTTCAGCTCGGATTGTGACCTTGGGGTTGTGGAACTGAGCCTGGTGTCCGACTCAAGGCTTAGCATGGAGTCTGCCTGAGAGTCTCTCCCTCTGGCCCTCCCTCCTCCCGTCCTCCCACCACCCACTCTCTCTCTTAAAGAAAAAAGACTTCTATTTTTGGGTCATTCATGTGGTCTTGCGGACTTTAGCAGTAGCTAAAAGGGTAATATCTACTTCCACTTTGCCTTGCAACTTATTTTTCCTCATATATGAAACCACTGGTTAGCCTGAGAGTGATTCCGGTTCTTTCTGGGAGGGAACACTCCAGGAAAGTAGCCGAGCTAAGGGAGGACTGACCATCCCTGCTAGTGCCACACAGAGAAAAACAACTCCCAACACTCAAAGGGCCAGAGATGCCACCTGGCCTGGAACCAGGGCTAATCCCAAGTTTTCATTTCTTGAAGAAACCAAGGCCCAGGAAGGTAACATCTGTGAGAAGAAGCCAGTCAGGCCTGGGCCTCGCTTTTCCTCTCACTTTCAACAAAACCAGGGGGAGGAGCAATTCCTGAAGAGCCGGGTGCAGTGCTGACCAAGATGGCAGCCACGCCCACGTGGCTATGGAGCTCTTGAAAGCAGCTAGTCTGAACGAAACATGCTGTAAAGTGTAAAATAGGCTCCAGATTTCAAAGAGTTCATATTAAAAAAAAAAAAAAAAAAAGCAAAATACCTCATTTTTTTTAACAGTCACACATTGAAATATTAAGGTTTTAACATACTGGGTCAAACAAAATATATCCTCAATGTTAATTTCACCATTTTACTTTTTTAATGTGGTGACTAGAAAATGTGAAGTTACTTTGGTGGCTTGAATTATGTTTCTACTGGACAGCACTGTCTTAGGATGTAAATCCAGAAAGTAGTTTGGGGTCATTTAGGATGACAGTCACATAAATGCTAGTTAACAATTATTTTATAGTATTCCTAAGTAGGGAAGGGTGCTTCAAAGGACCTGATGGTCTGTACACTGCCAAGAAAACAGAAAGACTGTCCTTAGAACACACTAAATGGGGGTGGGGTGAGGGGGATTCATAACAAGATTACTTCTTGAGGAATAACTTTTTGAAAAGACAAATGAAACTTCCTTCCTCTGGAAGGAAACTCAAACCCTCCACAGACGGGGCATTGACTGAAAGACCGTAAGGACGACAGACGGTCTATATTCTCCCAACGCTTCCACTTAGCATATGTTTGATATTTTGATGTTTCTACAATGTTCTTAAGAACTGACAGAAGAGCTTATACATATAAACAAATAATCAGGAAGACGTGAAAACACATTCCAGAAGACAAAGGCCAAGCGTGCGCATCCAAGCCGAGAGGGACCTCACCTGGACTGATGACCACCCAGCCGCCTCGCTCCTGCTGCTGCATCCACGCTCTCCAGCCACGGGCGCCCTTCTCCCCAGCCCGGGGCTCCCCGCTGTCCCAGAAGGGCTCAAAGAACTCCACCTGTTCGGGTTTAAAATATGGAGGTGAGCCCAGCTTGGACAAAACCACTGCGCCACTGAGCCAAGTGTGTTCTCATCAGCACAAGAGCGGCTCGTGGCTGAAACCTTGCTTGCCCTGTTTCCAGTTGATTTAGGATACACCCCAAAACAGAAAAAAGAAAAAGGAGCTAGTATGGTAAGCGGCCTCCAAGACAGCCCCCTGTGACCCTACCCCTGAGTGTGGGCTGGGCCTTGTGACCTGTAGCAATCAGACACAGCAGAGTGACGGGCCACCACTTCTCAGAGTCTGTTACAGAAAGACCGGCCACGGTCTACAGAAAGGGCCTCCAGCGGGTAGGAGAGGAACGGTTTCCCAGCTCTGACCCTGGGAGGCCGGTCTCACTGAGGACAGGAAAACAGCCCATTGCCCTAAAGCCACTGGATCCCTGAATGCCTGAAATCATGTTGCTTCCAAGACTTCCAAGGAGAAGGGGATTCAAAGTGTCCACAGGACAGGCCGGGGCTGTTGAGGGCGTGACATCTCAACTCTGTGTTCCTAAAACCTGGCACAGTGCCCAGTACCTAGTGGGGGCTCAGTAAACACTTGCGGGCCCAGCGCTGTGTGTGGCAGGCACCCAGTGAATAAAAAGGTCTGCGTGTTAAAGCCAGACCCGTGATCACACGTCTGCTCTCCTGCATTTGGGCATCAGGTCTGCTGTGTGCGGTGACTGGTTCAGTGCAGTAATTCCCGACCAAGTGGACTGTGAACCCAGCAATGAGCAGGAAAGCAATTGTGTAATCAACTGATAAGGACTTTATTTTTTTTAGCTGTTTAAATTCTTTTTTTAAGAATATATTTATTTGAGAGAAAGAGAGAGTGAGCAAACACACAAGCAGGGGAGCAACAGGCAGGGGGAGCAGAAGGAGAGGGAGAAGCAGGCTCCCTGCTGAGCAAGGAGCCTGACACGGGGCTCAATCCCAGGACACTGAGATCATGACCTGAGCTGAAGGCAGGAACTTAAGCAACCCAGCCAGGCACCTCAACAAAAAGGACTTTAAAAGTGAGCTAACCACTTGCTTAAGGAAAGCTTCTATAAGAAACATTTAGAAGAGGACGAGGCTTCCAGGGGCATGCTGTGGGCCAGGAGCCGCAGGACGGTCCAGCCTGAGCCTGGGGCAGTGCCACGCATGCCTGCAAGAGGGCTGTGTCCAGGACAGCTCCGGAAGGGCAGGGCTGGGCAATGGGCCTGGCACGGGCCCCATACCAAGTGCCTGGCAGCCACCTCAGGAAGAGGAGCTAGAAAGACCACACTCCCTCTTCGCAGTCTTGCTCTTACAAGAGGGAGAGAAGAAAGGACACTCCAGAAAAAGAAGGGTGTTTTTTTTCAAAGTGTAAAAGTTACAATCAATTTACTTTTTCCATAGAAACACAGACGGGGGGCACCTGGGTGGCTCAGTCGTTAAGCGTCTGCCTTTGGCTCAGGTCATGATCCCAAGGTCCTGGGATTGAGCCCCACGTTGGGCTCTCTGCTCTGAGGGGAACCTGCTTCTCCCTCTGCCTCTGCCTGCAGATCCCCCTTCTCATGCACTCTGTCAAATGTCAAAAAAAAAAAAAAAAAAGAAAGAAAGAAAGAAAGAAAAAGAAAAAGAAAAAAAGAAACACAGACCAGACTCTGCTTCTTTCATGCTATACTACTGTGTCTTTTAACAATGTCTCTCGTTTTAAAGATATAGAATGTCCTCAAAGATAAAGTTTTATTTCAAAGTTGTCTGGTAAATGCTTTGGAACTCCAGGTGCTATCAGTACGAAAAGCCTTAAGAGCACGCAGCAGGCTCTGCGGACACTTGAGGGGCGTGGCTCCCTGCTTCACAGTCCCGGGCTCCGCCCTCCCCGAGAGGAACTGTTCTCATCACAGTCTGTGAACATCAGCAAAGGGCTGGGATGAGGTCCATTCTGATCCTGACCCGGCAACCACACACCCAGGGCCCCTGCGGTCCGCCAAGGTTCATTTCCATAGCATGGCATAGTCTTAAAACAGCACACCATGTCTTAAAATAATTTTGTTAACTGGCTCATTATACGACTAATCAGGTATACTAATATTAACCAATATTCTTTAACCCAATTTCATCTAGGAAAAAAATAGATAAAAATAAGGATGATAAAAATAGTCTTTAAGGGCAATTCAGGAATATTCCACAAGATGGAGATCTTGGCCTCCCGAGGCTTCTGTAAATTCACTCTAAATTCAGATATCCTATCCATCTTCCACCAGACCCCCTATGCAAAGTAGGAAATGGAGATTTCTTTCAAGAAAAAAGCGAGAAGGCGGCTTTCTTATATGGGTAGCTTTATGATGAGATTTTTTTTATTGCTTCTACCATCACAAATATGGGAACTGTCCACTTGTCATCTAAATGACAACACCTCCCCAGTAAGGATCAGCGTTGACAAACTGTCAACACGCACTATCTCACTATGGTTTGCAATTCCTGCAAAGATCTTACGTAGTGGAAATGCTAACTAGGAAAATGACCTAAGACCGGGCTTGGAATGCACAGAGGGAGGAGACAGTGAGACATCGTGCTCTATGGCTCTATGACTATGGTTTCTCTCCCTGACGGGGATAATTAGCACTGAAACGAGGCCCATAAGTAAGAAAAAAAAGGGGGGGGGACATAGTTGAGTTTGTAATGGGGGAAGTGGATCTTTCATCTCTCCAACTTTCACTATCTTCGTTATGGAATTTTCCTTGGATCACCAGCATATTCTGATCAACAGTTCTCAGCAGGGCTGATACAGAGGAGGATAGGATTTTAAAAATACTACCACCAGTTCCCATTATCCACACTTTCCCCCCAGAAGAGAGAGAGGGAGAAAGAGAGGGGGAGGGAGGAAAGGAGGGGGAGGAAGGGAGGGGGAAGGAGGGAGGGGGAGAGGCCAGTCTCACAAGGACCCGCACCTGTCCTTTGGTAGGCAGGTCTTTCACGCTGTCAGGTTTGAAGAAGGTGAAGTCCACCATGGCCTGGAACAGAGCGACGGCCTTCTCCGAGTGGCCAGCCTGCCGCAGGAAGTGGCAGTGCTGAAGAAAGAGAGCTGAAAGCAGGGACAGCAAGGAGGGAGTCCTGGTTAACACCTTTCAAAGGAAAGAACACAACTTCTAAAAACGTGCATTTCAACACCAAGAACATCTTTTCTCCGAAATTAGTTATTGTGATTGTTTCAAGGCTGTAATAATACATGTCCTTGTTAAAAGGACTCACCACAGAACTATAATCAAAGCACATTTATTCCCATTTTTATATGAAGCCACTGGGGAATACAAATATTAACAAAAACTATATATGCTGCATAAAAGTTAAGGCAGGAAGTTGTTCTGGACAGTTATCAAATACTCAAAGCTCATTATTACAAGAAAAATTCTAGGAAAAGGGATGGTGTAGATTTTCATCAGAAAGTAAAGATCTGTGCTCAACTGACTGCGAGGCCCCAGAAGGGGTGAGATGAGCAGACAGACATCTCAACAGGGATCCCCACGGACAGCCACGACAGTCGAGACTTGACTACGTGTCCTTGGCTAAAAGCAGGAAACCTGGACCTTCTAGTCCACGGTTCCCCTACCAACCTGACGGGCTCTCATGCCCACTCCTCAGCCCCACCAAGAAGGCAGAGAAGGGAAAATCTGTTCTAGTCCAAAGCAGTCCTAATACTTTCTGTTTAAATCCATTGTATCAATTCTGTCATTTCTAAAATAAACCAAAAACACATCTTCATTTTTTACTACAGCCAGAAGCCAGTGCAAGTGCCCGACCCCCACGGCTCTGGCGCTCAGCTCTTACCGAACACCGCCTCCTCCGTGCCGGGCAGCGCGGGGTGCGACAGGATGCTGCCGTCCAGCACCGCGGACAGCGTGCTCAAGCACTTGCCATAGAGACCGTGGATCTTGGTGACGGTGAAGGTGCTGAACTGGCTTTGGCAAAATAAAAGGTACTTCTGCCACAGGGCTGTCTTGTTGGGGTGCACGAATATCAGCTTCTGCCACTCCCTGAGCAGTGCGGAGGGCTCCCAGAACTCGGCACACAGCTCCAGCTTGGCCAGCTGCAGCTCCACGGAGCTCTGGTTGCTCTCGATGGCCCGCTCCAGGATGGCCAGCTTCCTGTCCAGCACCAGCTTCCGAGACCTCTTCCGCTTCTCCGGCTCTCCCTCCTCGAGGGTGTACAGGCCGGGGCTTTTCATGACCTCATCCTTGAGACAGAAACATCATTTTACTAATGGAAATAGGGGAGCCTCAAAGTCCCGCAACAGCCACTGAGCTCCCCGCAAGCCCCGCTCTAACGCCTCGCAGACCAATCGTCCTTTGGACGTCACCACGGGCTAGCCACGATTTTTTCTGAGCAGAAACTCTGTTCCTGGGGTGCCTCTGTCACCTCTACATTTGACGGTGTTTACCTCACCCAGCTGCTCTGTCACGGGGCGTGGGCGGTCACATAACAAGAGCGAGCATGCAGCTTCCCAAGAGCCAACTTCACCCGTGACACAGCCGAATGTGGGGCGAGACACAACCGTATACACGATTCAAAGGCAAGTAAGTAGGACGAAGACAAAGCCGCGTGCTTCAGAAAGGGAGCCTAGAGCCCCGGTCGGGTCACTGGAGAAGCAGCGCCTTCTTTCTCCCAGTTCTGCACATCCTGCACCCCGCACCCCAGTGAACAAGGGCGCTTATTCCCAGATCCTGTTTAAATTTCGCCTTCTTTTAGCCGCCCTTTCGTGCTCCCTCGAGGCAGGTCACCCCCACATGCCAGCCCCAAATTACACATGAAAGCCCTTGCCCTTCACACATCAGGCTTCCTCGGGGGCTTGGAGCAAGCTCAGGGCAAGGGCTACATGTCATAATCTCCAAATGCCCAGGGCCAGGGCACCTTCCAGGGGCTCCAGAATGGCAGGAGAGCACGTGGGTTTGCCCCAAACTAGCACAGTCATTCCGAGTAAGAGAAGCGGGATGGCGTTACTTACCTGAAAAGCAACAAAGGCCATCCACAGCTGCACGTCGCGAGGACTCTCGCGCACTCTCCGGTTGAACTCCTCCACCTTGGCCTTGAGCAGCGCGCTCTCTCTGTCCGTCTGTGAGTCTGGCTGCTTTGATTCTTGCTCTGAAGGACCCTGTCCTTGTAACCACTGCGTGGTGGACTGATCGTAAATGCCCAGAGGGTTCAACCAGGTCGTAACGGGAGGAAGCGCATCATCTGGGCCCTTCACGGGGATAAAGGAGAGCGGCTCAGACGACGGAGGTTCGGTTTTGCTGCCAACGGCAACTCCGTCAATGTTCATCAATCCCACGCTCTTCTTTGTAAAATAGCGCTCAACATGCTTGTGCGAATGCTTCTTTTCTGTGGATGCCCCCTCCCAGGATATACACTGCTTCTTAGGGTTAATGCCAAGGCAGGAGTCTCCTTTCCTCTTGTATCTTGTATTTGAAAAAGAAAGAAAGTTACTGAGGCAAGAGGTGCACTGCCATCGAGGCTCAGCTCAGTGGACCTGAGCTCTCGTGAGGCAACTTAACTGCACGTTTTCAAATTCACCTTACCTTCTGACAGTTTCTATTCAGAGAAATACGACAATTAGCAATCAACTTTTTCTGTGTTCAACTTATTCCTCTAAATACTTCAAATCCTTATTAACATCACATGAATTTCAGATCAGGCCTGTCTTCCAGACTCTAGTAATTTCTAGTAGTTTCTATTTTCCTAGAGTTTTGTAAAGTCTGTCCCATACATTACCTCATGGATCATCACAATCATATTAACAGACAAGGTGGAAATCCTCATCCCCTCCTTTACACTATCCTTAAGGACACCAGAACCTTGGGTGACAGTGAGTCACCTGTCTCCTACACTGGTCCTTTTTCCTGTATAGTCCTGTGTTCCCTCGTAAGAAGAAAACAGGGAGGGCTAAGATTGTATTTTTAAGCCTGAAACAAAATAAGATTACACTTGGCTGTCTTCTACTCTAGAGGAAGAGAGGCTGGGCTCTAAAAGGCCTGTATAGAGCGTACAGGTGCCCCCGTAATCACACCATGACTACGGAATATGTGCAGGAAGGCTGTGGGAAACCATGCATTCTTCCGTGTGTTACACAAACCAACAAAGAACAGCAAAGGATGTGAACGGAATTCACCAAAGACAACATGAAGGGCCAATCAGCGCATGCGTAACTGCTCAATGTCATGAATCGTGAGGAAATGCAAATTAAAACCACAAGGAGCTATGCCACAAACCCGCCAGAACCACTAAAATTAAACACCGACAATAATGACCACCAGCGAGTAATCTGCCGGGGAACCGGGTCTCTCACATGCTCTTAGTGAGAATGGAAACTGGTACAGTCACTTTGGGGAAAGGTCTGGCAGTTTCCTGAAAAAACTAAACTTAGACTTACCCTGGGGCCCAGCAATTCTATTTTAGGCATTCCCCCAGGAAAAAAGGAAACTGCATTTCTACACACAGATGTGTGCACAGACACTCTCAGCAGTCGTGTTCCTAACAGCCAAGTGCTGCAAAGGGTCCGGGCATTTATCAGCAGAAGAACAGACGAATGAGCAGTGGTGTGGCCACAGGACAGAGCACCACCAGCAGTGAGAAGCCACTACTGACAAATGACCCAATGGGGCTGGATGTCAAAAACGTCACACTGAGCGAAAGAAGCCAGACCCAAAGCGTGCGTACTATAGGACTCCAGTTACGTGGAATTCTAGAAGAGACAGTATTGAGTATGGAAAAAATTAGAACGGTAACTGTCCCTGGGGAGGTGGGGTGTGGACTGAGTGGAAGAGAGCAGGAGGAAATTTGGGGGGAGTGGGGGTCACGGTGATGTTCATTGAGGGCTGGCTTACACAGGTGTATGCACGTGTCCAAACTCAGCAAATGAAGATCTATGTTACACTGTATGTAAATTTTAAGTCCAAAGGAAAAAGCTAAACGAACCTGAACTGCAGTTAATGACACGCATGCTGAAATATTCAGGGAGCAGTATACTGAGGCTGGCACCAAACAGGCTGGATTGAAGGACAGATGAACAGACGGACATGTGACAAGGCAGGCACAGTGAACTATTCATGGTAGAATGTAAAGGGTGGGATTAGGAGCATTCACTGCAAAATTCTTTCAACTGACACTGTATTTTTTAAAAATTTCCACACTATCACGCTGTCAGGGGAAAAAAAGGAGAGAGTAGTCGCCATCTTTTGTCATCTTCCAGAAAGTTCTGCGTCCACCTCCCCCTGGTCTAGGCCCAGCACCTCCTTTGCTTCCCCACAGTCAACAGAGGCCTGAGAAGTTGCCTTCCCAGCTTTCACATGCACACAAACCCTTCCTCTCCATCCTCTCCCCCAGGCCCTCCTAGGTTAACTCAAAACAACTGTCCCCAGTCCATTTAGAGTCAGAACAACTTTAACGACAGGTGAGGAGATAAAATAGTGCTTCAGGAGCTCTAAACACGTCCATCATTCTGTAAGGAACAAACTCTAAGTAGAACTAGTTCTCCCCATAAGTACTATTTTATTTTTACTAAAAATCAACAGTATTTCAACATTCACATTACCTCTTAAAAAATGTTTAGAGTTTTCTGACTTTAAAAGTGCATTTTGGGGGCACCTGGGTGGCTCAGTGGGTTAAAGCCTCTGCCTTTGGCTCAGGTCGTGATCCCAGGGTCCTGGGATCGAGCCCCGCATTGAGCTCTCTGCTCAGCAGGGAGCCTGCTTCCCCCTCTCTCTCTGCCTGCCTCTCTGCCTACTTGTGATCTCTGTCAAATGAATAAATAAAATCTTTTTTTTAAAAAAGTACATTTTGTAAAACTGATTTTAATAGTTGCATTTTATAACAGATAAAAATGATAAAGGGAAAAAAGAGTCTTACTGAACTGTATTATTAAACGCCTACTTTCAGATATGCGTTTATGTGTTTGTATGTGTACATATACCTTTTTAAAAAAAATAGCTGATACACAGCTTCGGGCTTTCCTCCCTACTTTTGTGCATTTCCCTGAACCATTTGCTTTAGAAAATACCGTTTTTATTGGCTTTGAATCAGTCCGGTGGAGGGGTAAGCCCTCATCTAGAAACATCTCTCTGCTGTTGGACATCTGGGTTTTATCTAATTTATCATTTATCATAGAATCTTAACTGGGAAGAACCTAGGCTGTAATTTAATGCACTCTTCCCCCAAATGAAGGTTTGGGTTTTTTTGTTTTGTTTTGTTTTTGTTTTTGGTAAAATCCTTATCAAATGGTCAGCTGGACTTACATGGAGCAATTCCAGAAGGAGGGAACCCCACTTTGGAGGTTCAGCGAATGATATCATACTGATATTTACTTTAATTAATTCAGCTGCAGGAAAAGGGAAGGGATGGGAAGAGAGGAAAGAAAAGGAAGAAAGAGGGGCAGGGCATGGGAAACGAACGTATTTAAATCGAGCACACACTTCTGCCCGGGATCCGCGTGGCAGCTCTGAGCCCCAGAGTGAGCTGGGCAGTGATAAATGTGCCTCTCCTTCGGTGACTTTAATCCACACAGGCTCTCATGGTGGTCGTCTACCCGGGTCCAAATTCCAACCCCATCATTTACTAACCAGTTGACTCTGACCAAATTATTTAAACCAAAACCCCCCCAAAACCTGTCTGTGCCTCAGTTTCCTCATCTGAGACATGGGGATAATAATGTTACCCATATCACAGAACACCAGGGATGATCAAAAAGTTTATATATTTCAAGTCCTTAGCCATACAGTAAGCACTAGACAAGTTAAGGTTATTATTTCATAAAACTTGGCTCCTAAACATATGCCCACTATTTCACCTGGTGTAGAACTAAACAACGGTCCACTCCATACATGGAGAAAAAGCAGAGCTGACGTTCTCTGAGAGCTAGTATATTAGCCCTAAGGAATTTTCCAAAGGTAATTTGGAATCCCATGAACTCTAAGCCCTGCTCACCACAATACACAAATGCATACCAGGTCACTGCTGGTAGGCTCATACTACTAGAAAATTTGCTTTGATACTGAGTCAGATCTCACTTTCTAGAACTTCCACTCATTGATCCTGGTTCTGCCTTCCCGAGTTACACTGAACACTGCCAATCCACCTTCTAGAAGGTGGTCCAGCAAAGCTTAAAAGACATGGACCATATTGCGGTCACAGGCCCAGGACCCACAAGGCCTCATCTGGTCCTCACAGGACGGTGCCAGGCGAGTCCTCCCAATGCTCCTGGTTTGTCAGTGCCCCGCGTGAAGTGTGAAAATTCTTAACTTGACAAAACATGTCCCCTGTCCTCTGACCAACTCACAGTGCCACGGGACCAATACTGCCCTAGATCTGGACACTAACAGTGGTACAGCTATTAATCCGGGTAAGACTTAGCTCAGCTAAGCTTCGGAATCTACTGGGAAATCACACCAATGCCCCATGCCCTTCCAGCAGCATCCTCACAATTTACATTAGTAAACTTCCCTCATTAGTCTCCTCCTAAGGCCTGGGCCTCTCATTTGCAGAGATTTAAGAGCTGCTCATGGTGAATATTTCTGCTTTTTCATCTATTAAGAAGTAATAACCCTTTATCTTTGCAAACTAATTTTTCAATCCTATAGATGATGTCTGATATCCGAGTGTGAGGCACAGCAGGAGTTAATAAATGAGGAAAGAGAGGTTCAGACAGGATTAGAGACTCAAGCGGGATTACATTATGAGTCAGTGGCCAAGTGAGAATGAGAACCAGAGTTCTCCGTTTCCCAATCTAGAAAGCAGCCTACCACACAACCCAGCTCATCTCCATTTGTGGCCCGGAAAAGAACATTCAAGGTTAGAGGAACACAGATTCCCCAAGAAAGCTGCTTCTTGGCAGCGTGATCCTGAGAGGCCACTGACCCTCTCTGAGGTTCCCTTTCCTCGTTCCTAAAATACGAGTGTGGCCCTCCTCGCAGAGCAGCTGTGAGGATCACACAGGCTAACAAGCACAGGCTCACAGTCAGCATTTGCTCGCCTCCCCTTTTCCTGGGTCCTACCACGTCTGTGGCCCCACATCACGGGGCCATGGGGAACCGAACAAGACTTCAAGGAGTATCAAAATTATTCAAAAATGTACGAAAACATTTTAATAGTCATTCACTCAGCCATAAGGTTTTAGGAGACAGCATGTAGATACAAATATCCACGGAGAAATCACAGATATAAACATATCATAAAGGAAATCCAATAGGAACTGCCTATGTGGTAAGCTATAATGTTGTGACTAATGACAAAATTTGGAGGTGCAGCTATGTAATGGAAACCGAAATTTATTTTAAAAAGTAATTAGCCTATAAAGAATGATATTGGCCTCCTCTTGGCTTTACATTCCAATATTCTCTACCTTCAATTTTCATTACCTGTAAGCTGTCTGGGAAGAGAGATTGTGTATGACTGCTTTGTGTTCCCAGCAGTGTCTTATAAACTATTCAGTGCCTAAGGGATTTAATAAGTACTTAATATTTTTAAAAATATTTTATTTATTTGACACAGAGAGATCACAAGTAGGCAGAGAGGCAGGCAGAAAGAGAGGGGGGAGCAGGCTCCCTGCTGAGCAGAGAGCCTGATGCAAGGCTTGATCCCAGGACCCTGAGATCATGACCTGAGCTGAAGGCAGAGGCTTAACCCACTGAGCCACCCAGGTGCCCCAATAAGTACTTAAATATTTTTGATTGACAGGGTGGAGGAGAAGAGTTTAATAAACTAATTACTGAAGTGAATACCATCGCCTCTTTTTTTCTCTGGTGACATATACTGGGAGCATTTTGAAAAAGTCATTACCACTTAATGTCACTTTTAAAATGGCTTACTTGGGGGATGGATGAATAAAAAGTGCTCGTGACTTTTTAAAATGGCATACAGATCAGACCAAATGATTTCCAGATAGTTTGTCACAATTATTTATTTCAAGGTATTTTTAGATTCCCTCATTCAACAATTTACTAAAAACCTACTACGCCCAGCACAGTGCCAGGCACCACGGATTAATGACTCAGACCTGGATCCTGACTACAAGGTTTGAGCTTTCACTTCAGAGTGTGAGATAAGACACATGCCCTAGGGACACCTGGGTGGCTCAGTTGGTTAAGCAGCTGCCTTCGGCTCAGGTCATGATCCCAGCGTCCTGGGATCGAGTCCCACATCGGGCTCCTTGCTCTGCAGGGAGCCTGCTTCTCCCTCTGCCTCTGCCTGCCATTCTGTCTGCCTGTGCTCGCTCTCTCTCTCTCTCTCTCTCATAAATAAATAAAATCTTTAAAAAAAAAAAAAAAAAAAAAAAAAAATTATAAAGAAAAAGAAAAAAAAAAAAGACACATGCCCTAACAGCCCAGCGATGGGGGACACCCACCCCCCGGAATCCAGAAGGGAGGGGGGCAGACAGAGACTGCACACAGAGGGCTCGAGGGAGAAAGAAGTCACTTCCCACCAGTGAAAATCAGGAAAGACATGGTGACGCGTACCTTGCTATGTCTCCTCGGTAGAGAGACTTATACTCCCAGTTGGCCGGATCCGGTTTCTTGTCTGTTCTGAAGGTTTCTCCTGTCAGAGCCTGCACATCCTCAAGCCAAACAAAGCGATACCCAACATCATCAGCAGCATGACCTTCTTGCCTGTGGTACACAGGAGTGAGGAACAAAGAGGGAGAAACAATTTGGAACCTTCTAGCTACATCGTCCACCTTTTCAGAAAAGTGAAAGTCAAATATTTCCACACTGATGCACACATAGCATCAAACACACTCAAGTATGTAACGTGCGTACGTGCCACAGACGAAGAGGACGCCTGCTGTGGAAAAAGCTTTAAGATAGCAAGCAAGAACTGTCAACGCTAAGTGGCACTTCACCAAGTCACCTTATCTCAGAAATTAACCTGACACAAGAGTTTTTATTTTTTTAAAGATTTACTTATTTACATTGGAGACAGGGAGAGAGATGCAGCACGCAGGGAGGGCGAGAAGGGAGAGGGAGAGGAGACTTCAACTCCCCACAGAGCATGGAGCCCAGAGTTCGATCCCAACGGCCCTGAGAGCACAACCTGAGCCAAAATCAAGAGTCAGATGCTTAACTGACTGAGTCACCCAAGCACCCCTAGAAGTTCTTTTTATTTATTTATTTTTAAAGATTTTATTTATTTGACAGATAGAGATCATAAGCAGGCAGAGAGGCAGGCAGACAGAGAGGAAGGGAAGCAGGCTCCCTGCTGAGCAGAGAGCCCGATGCTTTGCTTGATCCCAGGACCCTGGGATCGTGACCTGAGGTGAAGGCAGAGGCTTTAACCCACTGAGCCACCCAGGCGCCTCAAGATTTTATTTATTTATTTGACGGACAGAGATCACAAGTAGGCAGAGAGGCAGGCAGAGGTCGGGGTTGGGGGGAGCAGGCTCCCGCTCCCCACTGAGCAGAGAGCCCAATGTGGGGCTCAATCCCAGGACCCTGGGACCATGACCTGAGCCGAAGGCAGACGCTTAACCCACTGAGCCTCCCAGGCGCCCCTCAATGTCGTTTTTATAGCCCAGGCTCTGTGGGCTGCCCCCCTCCTATACCAAGGCCAGAGAGAGCCCACTGTGAGCCAAGACCCTTCCTTATTCCTCTGAGCCAACCTGAGAGTCGGCAGACTTCCAGCTGAGACATAAATGAAATGGCTTCCCTAGGAGTCAAAGGCAAGAGGGAGGGAAAGTTGTTCTGGCATCTAGTATCTTCCCTCCTCTGAAGAGAAGCAGCGTGTCATGCTCTGACACAAGAAGCTGCCAAAGTAGTCAAAACAGCCCTTAACCTTGTTCCATCGCAGCTTTTTGACTCTGCCCAGATAGAAATAAAGATTCTGAAAGCTTCTAAGTCATCCTGGGCTGGGAATACAGAGGAATGGCATTTTGGGGACACAAAGTAGCTTGCAGTGGGCGTTTGCTGAATAGGTTAAAATACATGGTGATTTTTAACAAGTTCTCCCTCAGAACACCTGTGGAGGGTTTTCTGTCCACAAACACTGCAAGGGGCAGCCAAGGGAAGGAATGAGATGGATGCATTCCAGAAAGAAATGGAAAGCCTACGGGGGAGGGAGGAGGGAGCAGACCACCCCTGGGGGGTAAACGAGCTCTGATCCTCTCCTATTGGGTACTGAGGTAGGAAGCAGGCTGTGGTCTGGGCTGTGCGCTAGAATATGCCCCCACCCGGAGATGAAGAGCTCACCTTAGGAGACAGAGGTCCCTGAGAAGCCCCAGGAGACGTCGTCCCTCCCCCACCCTAAAACAGAGCTCCTATATGGTGCCCGATACCCCCAGGAACCCACTTTCCTGACATCATGGAAATACTCTCACAACTCACAAACATCTTAGTCCTCGTCTCCAGGTCATCTTCCCAGGAAAAGACTACAGAAGTCCACAGTAAGAAAGTAAGCGAGAAGATAAGAACAGTCGATTTTGATCTTAATGGGGTTATTCTGAAAAATATCAATGAACTTAAAAATGCCATCTGGATCACATACCCATCAAGAGGCTCTAAAGCTCACCCCTGATTGATTACGCACAGGCTGGAATTAATTACCTTCCAGGTTCTAATGGCAGTTCCTGTGTGGGTTCAGAAAATCCTTTAAAACTCATTTTCCTCAATTCTTTAAAAAAAAAAAAAGACAAGTAGCTAATACTGAGTTTTCAGAAGAAACAATGATTAATATATGTTGCTCTGAAGACATACTGAGAAGCAAAAACATCAATAACATATCCATTCATTCACACAACAGAAATGTACTTTTTCCCAGGCCAGCTGCTGAGAGGGTACAAGGGCAAGCCAGACGGGAGTGATTCCTGCCCACAGAAACTCAAAGTCAGAACCTTCTTATTCTCCCCTCCTAGAGCAAGCCTGGGTTACAGACAGAGCCTGGAGGCATAGAGATGGCTGAATCAGGACGCCCTGAGCCATAGTGGCCTGCGAGGCTCTCCACAGGTCTGGTGGCAGAAGGATCCACAGGAGGACTCAGCATCCACCTGTCTGATGCAGACCCTATGGGTCAGATTCCAGACTCATGGCACCACAGAGCTCTCACTGACGTCGCTGGGACATCTAAGCGAATAATCCCTGAAGAGTCAAAAAAGTCTTAATAGCACTAAATTTTTTAAGTATGCCTTGGACAGGGACTTCAATCTTCTCTCCTCTAGCCCATACAAACAAAGAAAAGAAAAAAGTGAAGAAATAACTCAATTCCACCCCATGCAGCCTGTCGTGGGCATGGGAGAAGGACCCCCCATGGGGGAGCAGAGGGAGAGGTAGAGGGGAGCAGAGGGGAGCTACCGGTGAGCGCCTGTGCAGCCCTCACTGCAGCACGAGGGGAGCAACAGGCTCAAGGGAGACGGAGCAAAATGTGGGGAAAAGCAAAGCCCCCAGGAGAGGAAACACTGTGGTCATGGGCCGGTCCACACTTTCCACATCGTGCTGGAAAGTAACGTGACCTGGGAAAAGGACAAGAGCAACGATGATCCTATTACACGGCCCTCGACCAAAGAGTGTGGGTCTGGGGTGGCTGATGCGAGTGGTCCGAGGGAAGAGAGACACTATGGAAGAGAAGTAAGACGTTCCTCTTACTCTGACCCTCACAGACAGAGCCTCAACTACGTAGCGAACTGGCCCAGATTCCCACGGCATGGCACATCGGCCATCTTTCAAAATCCCAAAGACCTTTCGTCCGCATCAGATTTTGACATGATCATTACTGTGTCTAAATAACATTTCTCAAAATCACAGCCCTGATTTTTTTAATGAAAATTTTCTTTCTTTTTTTTTAAATGTGACCTCATGGTACAGCTCTATTTGGGTGTGTTTTGGACTCCGTTTGACTGAGTGGCTAAATAGTCATTCACATGTCTCCTTTGTGGCAACTGAAGGGAAAAAATACAAACTTTGAAAAGTCACAGGTATTTGAGAACAGAAAACCCACCTTGGCTTCTCGGATTCCCTTCTACTGTCTCCAGTGCTTCTGGAAGTTTTGTCCTTTTCGGGCTCACTATCCAGCTCGGAGCCACTGCTACTGGCCTGCCCACGTTTTCTCTTGGTTTTCTTGTGGTGATGCTTCCTCTTCTTCTTCTTCTCTTTCTTCTTTTTCCTGCTTGTTTGTCTGGGCTTTCTGTTAGCGTCACTTTCATCTGAAGGCTCCGATTTCAGGGGACTCCTGTTTTGGGAAAATCAACATTGGAATTATTTTCAGATGAGAAGTAGGGAGAAGACTATGTAAATAAGCAAACAAATGTGTAAAAGAGAACTCCAGAAATGCCCACAGGGGCTTACTATTCGCCCACATACTTAAATAGTGCCTTCCCAGATCACGACTCCCCTTAAGGATTTAAGAGTTGGACACCACCCCGACCCCAGGGGGAAAAAAAAAAAGAGTTGGCCCTAAACCAACAGTAGGTGAAGAAATTCTAATTTTAATAGCTTCTAAACCTGGACTTTCACACCTGTACATTTTTTTTAGAAGATTTTATTTATTTTTTTGTCAGAGAGAGAGAGCACAAGCAGGCAGAGTGGCAGGCAGAGGCAGAGAGAGAAGCAGGCCCCCCACTGGGAAAGAAGCCTGATGAAGGACTCGATTCCAGGATCCTGGGATCGTGACCTGAGCCAAAGGCAGCCTCTTAACCAACTGAGCCACCCAGGCATCCCACATCTGTACATTTTTAAATGAAAATAAGCTACTAGTTACTTTATCAAATACAGTATTTTCTGAAGCAATGTTATAAAGGGTTTATTTTCAGTCCTACACATTAGGGCAGCATGTCCTAAAAAAGGTTTAATTCTGGTCTTGTTTTTAAAGGTTATGTGAACCCTTCCACATTATAGAAATGTCTATGGACAACTCTCCCTCTGGCACCAACTAGTGTCCATTTCTAAAGGTTTCTTGCACTTTTGAAGGACTGCCTTCCCGGGGCTCCTTATCATTTTTTTTTTTTTAAGATTTTATTTATTTGACAGAGATCACAGGTAGGCAGAAAGGCAGGCAGAGAGAGTGGGGGAAGCAGGCTCCCTGCTGAGCAGAGAGCCTGATGTGGGGTTCGATCCCAGTACCATGAGACCATGACCTGAGCTGAAGGCAGAGGCTTAACCTACTGAGCCACCCAAGTGCCCCTGGGGGCTCCTCATCTTAATGAGACCATCTAGTCCATATTTGCGAAAGGGCTCACTTCTCAATTCGATGCTCTACCACAACTTCTTTCAAAGCCTGGTGCAGATGTGTGCCCTTCTGCTGTCCCCAAGTTTTCATGAGATTTTATCTGATGTTGTATCACACCAGCTTCTTCCATTTTTCCCAAAATGGTGAAAATGCAACTGAGGGAACACTGGAGTTACAATATTCTAAAGATTACTAGTGAGGTCAGTAAAGTTACTCAATAGTCACAATGGTGCCGTTTCCCTTGTGGCCTTGTTACTGGCGCCGTGTCACACACTTGCCACTACAAAAGGCAAAGCAGGGAAAGAGGAATAAATAATCTATGAGTGAGGAGAGGGAAAACAAAGGGCACCTCATTAGTTTGAGTAAAAAAAAGAGTTGTAATTCGCTCTTTTATCACAGGGTTTCCTAAGGAGCGTTTTTCGAACCCAGCAACAGACAACACGCAGACAAAAATGAAAAATTCATCTTTCAGAAAAACTACCTCGTCGGCGATGACCCTTCAGAAACCAGGGCGGTGGCCTCCTCAGGCTGTTGGCTCAGAGAGGGTACGGCTCCAACACAAAAGCTCGGGTTGCTCAGCCAATCTAATTCTGCGCAGGCAAAAGGGGGAGAAAAGATCAATGAAATTAGCTCAATGTGATTTCGAAAGCAGGAAATCCATCTCACCAACTGCCATCCTCATTCCCAGCCAGTGTCGGCCAGACAGTCCGCAGAGGCCGAAGGGAAGTCATGAAATTTTCATTTCACTGGGACGTGGGGCTTTCACACACCCGAAAGTGTTTAAGACTGAAATTCTCTTGTGCGATCAGGCTGCAGCGTAAGCAAAAGCCATGTAACAAGTGTGGCTTAAAAAGCAGGAGGGCTTCACAGATTCCATCCACACACTAAGGAGCAGGGATGTTTCCAAAGCATTAAGACTGAATGACCTCAAATCTGAAGCAGACAATCCCGAAAAGCTTCAAAATCAAATCATGCACAAAACCCTCCATGTTTAATATCGTTACAGAAGATTAAGACATTTCTCTTCAAAAAAGATTCTGTTCTTGGTAACTTAACATAGGCCTTTCCTTATAACAGTATTCCTCTTTGAAAATAAAAACACAAGATGTCATCTTTGCTAACGCTAAAATGACATAAAGTGTTCATAATGATTATCTCTGGGTGGTGAGATTAAATGTCCAAAATTTTTCCTCTTTCTGCTTATCCACTAATTTCCAACTCCTCTGGAATGAAGTCTTTCTAAGTTATTTATTTCCTAACCTTTTAGGGGTCTTAACTGTAAAGGAAAGGAAAAAGCCAGGGGATGGTGGACGGTGGTGGCAAGGGGGCCCCAGGAGGGGTCTGGAGGTTGACCTGTTTTGTTCTAGGATGAGGCCAGAGCACCCGTGACATGCATCAAGTTAGGAGATAGAAGGGGAACTGCACTTAACAGTCATCCTGGGATATAATCTACACACAAGGTTCAGCCATTTAAAATGTATAACCTGTGGTCTTTGGTATATTTAGAATCTTTCACAAGGCACCTTGCTGGCTCCATCAGCGGAGCATGCGACTCTTAATCTTGGAGTCATGAGTTCAAGCCCCGTGTTGGGCATAGAATTTACTTTAAAAACAAACAAAAAAACCACATCAGACTTGTTCAACTACCACCATAAAATAATTTTAGAGCATTTTCATCATCCCAAAAAGAAACCCCATACGTATTACCAGTTACCAGTAATCATCTCCCGCTCTCCCGTGCCAGGCAACCACTAATCCTTCTCTACAGATCTGCTGGTTTGGGACGCTGAACGTAAATGAGATCACACCATACAGTCTTTTGTAACTGGTTTCTTTTACTCAGCATAGTGTGTTTAAGGCTTATCCATGCTGTGGCATATATCCACGCTCTATTCCTTTTTATTGCCAAATAATATTCCATTTTATGGACAGCCCACATTTTGTTCATTCATTGGCTGATGGACACCTGGACGTCGTTTTGGTGATCGTGAACAATGCTGCTGTGAACACTCAAGTATGTAAGCTTTTCTACGGACATGTGTTTTCATTGCTGTTGGCTGAATATCCAGGAGGAATGCTGGGTCATGTGGTAACTCATGATGAGCGTTTTAAGGAAATGCCAGACTGGTTTCCAAATTGGCTGCACCACTTTACAGCCCCAGTAACAGTGTGTAAGGATTCTGATTTCTCCAAATCCTCAGCAATTTGTTACTGGCGGTGTTTGAGATTACAGCTATCCTATATCCTACTGGCTGTGAAGCCTTTTCTCATTGTGCTTTTGGTTTCCGTTTCCCTGGTGACTGATGGAAAGCTTCTTTTCATGTGTTTATTGACCATTCACATTTGAACAGTGATAGTCAAATCCTTTGCAATTTTTTAATTGGGTTGCCTTTTTAGGATTGCGCTGGAAGAGAACTTTCTATGTTCTGTCTGCTAGTCCCCGATGATTCCCACATCCTAGTGAGGAGATGATGAAACATGTGCTCTGTGATGACAGGTACTTTGTCTGACTCACTGTTGTATCCATGAGCAATGCCTGGCAGGCGTCAGGAGGAGTTTAATAAACGTGTGGGAAAGAGGGGAGGGAGGCAGGCAGGAAGGAACATTCCTAAAGAAGAAAGGTACATCAAAAGAAAAGGGAGGGGCGTCAGGGTGGTTCAGTCAGTTAAGCGTCCAATTCTTTTTCTTTTTTTAAAGATTGTATTTATTTAGACAAACCATAAGTGACTCTTAATCTCACAAAACAAACTGAGGGTTGCTGGGGGGAGGGGGGTTGGGAGAGGGTGGTGGGGTTATGGACATTGGGGAGGGTATGTGTTATGGTGAGTGCTGTGAAGTGTGTAAACCTGGCGATTCACAGACCTGTACCTCTGGGGAAAAAAATATATTATATGTTTATAAAAAATAAAATTAAAAAAAAAAGATTTTATTTATTTGACAGAGAGCGACACAATGAGAGAGGGAACAGAAGCAGGCTTCCCGCTGAGCAGAGAGCCCCATGTGGGGCTCAATCCCAGGACCTTGGGATTATGACCTGAGCTGAAGGCAGACGCTTAATGACTGAGCCATCCAGGTGCCCCCTGAGCATCCAATTCTTGATTTTGGCTCATCTCATGATCTCGAGTCATGAGACTCTCAGAGACTCTCAGAGCTCCGCAGGGAGTCCACTTGACATCCTCTCTCTCTCTCTCCCTCTCCCCCTCCACCAGCTGCCTCACTCGCGTGCTTTCTCTGTCTCAAATAAATAAAATCTTTTAAAAAAACAGTAGGGGAAGAAGAGAGGGATTCTAACTTATTAATTGCCTACTGCAGGCCAAACACCAGGTAAAGGACTTTCCATCCTTAAGTACCAAAACAACTCCCTACAGAAGGTATTACGGTTTCCACTGTACAGGAGACTAAGGTTCCAAGCACATAAGTGATGTGTAAGGTCATACCCAGCGACTGCTGACCAACCAACCACTCAGGCAATCGCTCTTCTATTGTCTTTTTCTTTCTGACATTAATTCCCTTCCTTTGGGTCTAATTCCTGGCAAGAGGTATGTCAAAATAGTTCCTGTTGCTCAGAGATCATGATTATTTCCACAATAACTGGATTTTCCCATGAACAAGGAAAAAGTGAGAAAAGATAGAGCAAACAATATGCTAGGAGAGATGCTCTCAAACGATTCCAGTATATTTTTCCATAAATATTGTAGATAATGAGGATAGCTTGGAGAAAACGTAAAGAAACCCAGATGTCAAAACAACATAAAGTATGTGACTCTCAATCCTTCAGAAAGTACAAGAAAAGGAGTTTTTAAGGGAGCAATTAAGACTCTGCCATAGAAGACCACTGTGGAAAAAGAGTAGTATACTAAAAAAGAGTATACTAAAAAACTAAAAACTCTCACGGTTCTAACCCAAATCATCACTGAACTTCTCCATGACCTTCATCTCACTCAAATGACCTTTTGTCAGAACAAAGGGTATTTGCACCTGACAAGAAGCGGCTGCTGCCTTTTTTTCTTCCTGGGATCACAGGAGCAGTGAACGTGGAATGTCAGAAGTAATCATCACTGGATGCCAGGCATGCAGGAATTTTGGAGATCATCTAGTCCAGAGATTTTAAAACTCTTTTTAGCCAAAGAAAACATGCTCAAACAAAACGTTTCAGAGAAGCCCAATAGGCAGAACAGCAGAAGTAGGGCTGCTCCTGGGGGTCCGGAGGGAGGGGGAGGAGGCTCTGAGAAGGCTCTTTGCGGCACAGATGGGACACCAACCCCTCACTTACAATCAACAGCAGGGGGCCCAAAGAAGTTCAGTCACAGGGCCAAGGGCACACACCTGATCCGGATCTGCACTCCTCCACCCGGTCTCCCCACCACACCAGGGTGCTACTCTTCCTTCCCTCAACTAAGGAGCTGGTTTTCCTGAAGTCTCCCGGCAACAGATACATGAGGATCTCGTGGCAATTTTCACATTACAATCTCATTATCTGCATGGCAATCTTCCTATTTTATGCTAGGGCAAAAGGCAAAACAACTCAAATCCTTACAGGGACCAGGTTAGTAATGATCACTGTGACACTGTAGGGAGTGAGAATGGAAAAAAGAAAAAGACAAAAACATTTTGCCAGCTGAACAAATCCAGCAAACTGGTTTCCAGTGCTTGCATCCAAGTTTCCAGCTCGCCTACCCTCCTCCCATTCCTTTCTTTCTAAACTAAATGCAACAGGAGGGCAGAGGTCATGACTACTCACTCCTGTATTCCTAAACCCCTAGCACAGCACCTTGGCACAAAATAACTGGAACCAATAAATATTTGTTGAGTCAATAAAAAGACTGGGGACCTGAGCCAGATCTTCATATCTCTGTATCCCCAGCACCTAACTGACTGCACTCAAGGAATCTGAAATCATCAAAAGCATGCCATTATCTAGGTATAAATACAACTATTTTAATTCTTCCAGTCTTCACTGTAAATGGAGATTTACTCATTAAAGAATGAAGTACTGAATACCGCTTATGTGCCCAGGCACATCCCAGGCTTTGGGGGTACAGTGGGAATAAGGCAGGCCAGGTCTCTGCTCATGTGGGATTTATACTTAATGATAAACTTAACTGTTCATGGAATACATGTAGATTATTAAATTAAATTCTGATTACATGGTATCCTGGAAGAAGTTATTTGACATTAAAAGATAATTTATTAATCAGATTGCAAAGGGTTTTTTCTATATTTACCTACATCCTCACACAATTTACAAGTTCCTGTGATAGACATCAAATACGTATTTAGATCATTGTGTCAATACCAACCAGGACATAACATATTACAGAAGGACGAGCAGGATACAGCATGCTTAGGGTTTAGATAGAGAAGCTGACTGGCTGACAAACCTTTTATCCCTGCAGGTTAGTAAATAAGCACAGGTTGAACCTGTCTGGAAATCAGCACTCTGTGATACACAAACACACAAACACACACACACACACAGCCCTAGGAAAAGAAGGGTAGAAGCATCAGGCAGAAAACCACTTTAGAACCATTGCCTAACAAAAATCAGGCAGGTAGCTGGAAGAACTACGCATGTATAATTTTACAGAAA